ATTAACAAAATAATATAACTAATTAAAAGATAATATGAACATTGATAACTCATTAAAACAAAAATTAATAAATAATTTAGATAAAATTTGTATCGAGCAAACCGGTCATTTGGCTAATGCCGAACTATTAAAAAACGATGAGGGAAATGAATATTTTTTTCGTAAAGGAGTATATGGCTCTGATAGTTCCGATTGAAAAAAATGGTGAGCCAAAATTCAGAAAGTAGAAATTGACGGTGAGGAAATAGATTTGAGCCAAGTTTCAAAAGGCAAAGATGACGATGATTACTGGAAAATACGGCAAGAGTTAATTAATGAAATCAAGCAAAATCCCCAAGATTGAAAAATTGATGAGGAGAAACATGATGGAGGAATAGGCGAAATAGTGAGACACCGAAAAACCGGACGACGACATTGGAAAACGCTAGGACTTTTAAAGGAATGAGACGAAATTGAAGCTCTTTTAGGAAATAAGGATTTTCCAAATAATCCAAAATTGCCCCAAGAAAAAAAGCAAGATAAGCAAAAAGATAATTCGAAAAAATTAGAAAAAGAATTCCAAGAAATAAAAAAACAGTTAACTGAGGTTCAAGAGAAATTAATCGAAACTTTGGCAAGAGTAGAAAAATTGGAAGGCAAGGAAGACAAGGAAATAACTAAAAAATTAACCCAAATTAAGAAAAAAAATGAAGAATTGGCTAAAACTACGGAAATTGGTTCTTCATCGGAAATTAAGGAACAAATTAGTAAATCACAAAAGTTATTAAAAGAAGTGCCTGATAATACTACTAACCAGAAAGTTGGAGATAATAAGGAAAATGGCTGAAAATATACAAGATATTAGTAGTATTCATAAGGGATAAATAAAGTTAACTTACTATATTATAATTTTAAGGAGAAGAGTAAGTACACTGAGGTTTTTTTAATTTTACTTAGGTGGAATGTTGTAATTGTTCTTTTTCTAATTCCTCAAAAAACTGATTACTTTCTTGGATGGCTTGTAACAGATATTCCGAGCCTTTTGTTATTTTATTAAGTGTATTAAGATTTTTTTGGTGACAAATACCCAAGCCATAGACACACATAGTTGCAAAGTGTTCGCAATTATTTTCTAATACATTGCACTCATCTTTTCCATATCCTGCCTTAACTGCTATGTCAATATGCTTTTTAATTAGTTCTGGCCTTTTAAAAGGAATAAATGGATGGTGGATTTCTATTTTCTTTTCATCTTTTAAAAAATCTTTTCACTTGTCTATTTTAACTGAACTTTTAGGATCAGGAATATGTGCTACTTTTTTATTACCTAAATAAATAGCCACATGCTGATAAACTCCACCTTTTCTGTCTAATTTTACAATGTCATAAGGTTTGAGATAATCGTCAGGATTAGCCTGTGGGGATAACTTTACTCTACTTTTTTCTATATTCTTGTAATTTTGAACTAGTGAAAGTAGCTCAGTAATATAACAATTATTATATATTTCGGCTGCGGGATAATCACTATTTAGGGCTTTTTTAAAATGCTTTGCTACTTCTTCTTGTTTGTCTTCAATCGGTGTTATTTTCTCTATAACCTTAAAG